CACAGGCCATCTGCCCACACGTGCATTTGAACACATTTGTGAACATGTGGGAAGATGGTGATGTGAATGCTGAATCCATCATTAGAAGGCTGACACCAGCATTGATGGACCTTAATCCTAACTCTGTGTAGACCTATGTGGCCTGTAAGAATCATTTCGTGGGGCTGGTGGGGTGGCCAAGCTGGTAAAGGCTTGAGTTTGATCTCCAGGACACACATGGTAGAAGGAGCTCTCCCCTGACTGCCACTCACATGCTGTGGTACACATATATACACACATATGTGCACACACAAGATACATAAGAAACAGAAAAGAATCATTTTTGTGCGTGACATGTGTATAAGCATGTTGAGGTCAGAGGTCAACACCAAGGCCTCTTCCTCAATCACTTCCCAGCTTAGTTTTTGAGACAGAGTCTCTCACTGAACTTGGAGACTGTGAATGAGTCTCAGAGATTCCCCTCATTCTGCCTTCTCATTGCTAGGGTTATAGGTGAGAGCCACCACATCTGGCTTTTAAAACAGGTAATAGGGCTTCAAACTAGGGGTCCTCGTGCTGGTGTGACAAGTTCTTTAAAAGAATCATACATACCCTTAAAATCATTTTAAAATTTACTAATTTACCTACTTACTATATTTATAAATTTGTATATATGTGTGCCTGTGTGAGTTTATCTGCATCACGTGCATGCAGTACCCATGGAGGCCAGAAGAGGGCACCAGATCCACTAGAACCAGAGTTACAGTTGTGAGCCACCATGTGGGAGCTAGGAATGGAACCTAGGTCCTCTGCAAGAACAGCTAGTGCTCTTAGGCACTGAGGCATCTCTCTGGCCCTCAAATAATCAGTTTTTATTTCAGTAATGAACAAATGAAGGAGAAGCCTTGCTTCAGTTAGTGAGAGGTCCATAAAGTAAGTATCTCTCCATATGACACACCCACAAACAGACTTGTGTGGTGGCAAGCGACTTTACTTGGTGACCTCATGGCTGGTAGGAGGGAGGAAGTGACACAGAACTGACACAGAGAGTAGCTACCTTGGTATATAAATGAAGGTGACGGAAGCACCAGGCTTCCTGCCTAGAAACCTCTCCGCCCACTGTGGACCTCATCTGCTTTCTAATCAGACGGCAGCAGGGCTGTCAGGATCACTTAGTATCTTCCCTCTTCCTTAACATCTCCAAGGTGTCCAATTTAGAATAAATATAAATGGAAATTAGGACGAGGTCCTGGGAACATCCTGCTGTTTAGCAGCTGACGGTGTCTATAGGAGGTCAAAATTACTGTCATGAAGAGATCCGTAGGGTCCATTTAATGAGGCTCTTTCTACATCTGCTGCTCCATGGAAATCTTTTACATGGGCTTAACAGCTCCCTCCCCTTTGTCATCCATCTTGTTTTTTTTCCTGGCTGAAGGCAGATGTTTTTTTTATGTTTAGTATGAACCATGTTATTTGAGCTTTTCTAGGAGTGGGGCCACAGCTGTCCAGACTTTAAGGAACCTTAGCTGATGGTGCATTAGCTGGCGTGTTATTTACTTACGGCTGTGGCAAAATACATGATGGGAGCCGCGTAAGGCAGATTCGCAGTTGGCTCGCAGTTGGCTCACAGTTTAAGGGTGCACAGTCCATCGTGGAGGAAAGGCATGGCGACTGGAGCTTGAGGCAGCTGGTCACTGTGTGCCCACGGTCAGGAGGTAGAGGGACATGGATGCTGAGGCTCAGCTCACTCTCTCCCTTATAATCAATCAATCACTTATTTAACTAATTGTGTATGGAGAGGGTGATGCATGCCATGGTCTACATATGGGAGTCAGAGGACAGCTTTTAGGAGTTGGTTCTTACCATCCACATCAATAAGTCAGGGTCTCTCTGGCTTTTTTCTGGTTTTTACCACTGGAGTGTGTATTCCAGGCCAGGTGTCCCTTGAACAATTCTTCTGTCTCTACCACCCATCTCTCCATAAGAGTGTTAGGATTATAGATATATACCACCACATCTGGCTTTTATTCTTTCTTTAAAAATGATTTACTTACTTTATTTCATGCGCATTGGTGTTTTACCTGTGTGTGTATCTGTGCAAGGGCATCAGATCCCCTTGGAACTGGAGTTACAGGCAGTTGTGAGCTGCCATGTGGGTGCTGGGAATTGAATCTGGGTCCTCTGGAAGAGCAGCCAGTTCCTTAGATACTGAGCCATCTCTCCAGACCCCTGTTTAAAATATGAGTGCTAGAGATCCATCTTGGGGTTCCAGGCTTGTGAAGCTAGTGTCTTTAGCTACAGAGCCATTGTCCTGGCCTTTTTCATTTAGTCCAGGACGCCAGAGCATGTGACAGCACCACCCACATTCAGTGTGGCTCTTCCTTCCTTGGTAAGCCTCCTTGAATATGGCTCCACCACACAGCCAAAAGTGTGTCTTCTAGGTAATTCCATGTCCTATCAAGTTGACAATAAAAGGGTCAGCCACCACAAAGGCTCATCTGTAGCTGTTGTAATACCTCCCAGTGGATGGTGGATTCCTTACAGATGACTCCTAACTTATAGACTGCCGACATCCCTCCCATTTTACCTACAGGCACCCCCTCATCTTACCCACAGACACCCCCTCATCTTACCCACAGAC